CTACTTACGTCAAATAATATTTTCATAGGCTAATGCTATAACATACAGTGATATTCTATATTTTCACTAGATTTTTAAAAATTTGACTTTTTTATTTTCTTACATTGTTGTTTATTTTTGTACAATATTTGATTTTTCTCCTCAGATGTAGTCCCCATACATCTCCCACCACCAAAGCATCCTCGAATCATCACCACAGTCCTTTGAGCTCTTCTCTCTCCTATGTTACCCCTTCTCCTTCTCGTCCCTTATTGGATGCCTCAGATCTATAGTTAGTCTTTTTTGACCATTTGCTTGGTTCTTCTCTATTCCTCCTATAAGTGAAACCATGTGATATTTTTTCTTTTTTCTTTTGTCTGATTTCACCTAGTGTCATTCCTTCCAGTTCCATCCATGTTGCTACCAATAGCATGGATTTATCTTGTTTGTTTGCTGAGTAGTATTCCATTGTATATAGACCACATCTACTTGATCCAGTCATCTGGTTTTTTTGGCATTAAGTTATTTCCATATCTGATCTATTGTACATATTGCTGCGATAAACATAGGGGTGCAGGTATCTTTTTGAATTAATGTTTTTGTGTCCATTGAGTGGATTCCTAGGAGTGGAACTGTTGATCCATATGGTAGCTCCATTTTTAGGAGTTTGGAGAACCTCCACACAGCTTTTCACAGTGGTTGGACCAGCTTGCCTTCCCACCAGCAGTGTCATAGGGTTTCTTTATCTTCACATCCTTACCAGCATTTGTTGTTGCTAGTTTTTTTTGTGTGTGTGTTTTTTTTTCTTCATATGGGCCATTCTCACTGTTGTGAGGTGGTGTCTCATTGTGGTTTTCATTTGCATTTCCATGACTGTAAGTGAGGTTGAGCATTTTTTCATATACCTGTTGGCCATTTGCATTTTCTCTTTTTGGTTCTTTGTCCTGTGAGCTCCTAGGAGCTGGCTACTAGCTGGCCACTAGAGGTGTGGGCAACTGTGACCTATTTGCTATCTACAAATCACAACAGAGAATTCCTTGACTACTTGTGCAGTATAGCCCTTGTTATGAGGCAGGCCCAGGGATGCCTAGGCCACTGTTGACTTGATTACATGATTATCTCCATCTCCATGGTGGTCTCGGGATAACTGCCTATGATAACATCAAATACATTTGCTGATGCAAATGACTCTTGACACATGGTCATGCTGTCCCCTTCCATGTCCCTCATAAAACTTTGTCTCCCCATTCCTATCCCACCTTCCAGACTTTATTCCTCATACCACTGTTTCATGACCAGATTTTACTAGCCTGTGTGCTTTCAATAAATGGCACAAGAACTTCTGCTCAAGTAGCAGTCTTGCAAACCTGCTCCAAGTCCTGTGTCACTCATTATGTCCCATTGTTGTAACACTGCCCATTTTTTGACTGGGTTATTTGCTTAAATAAAATATGCTTTAAGCTAGATTTCATGGTATATATGGAGTTGGAGAAGACAGGTAATTTAGTGAGTGCGATTTGGGAGTTTCCTACTTATTTATAGCATTGCCCTAAGATGGTCTATGATATGACCAGTTTGCTGAGCTACTGTATAGTATAGAAATGGAACCCTCTGGGTTAAGATATGGATAGGATGAATGGGAGATCTGAAGCTCTGGTACTTTGCTTTCTTCCTGGGGCTATCCCAGTTTAAAATGTGGGTTCAGGAGCCACACTGCAAATACCTACTCAGTCCTCAGTCTCAGTGTTTCTCTCTTTACAGGTACGTGCAATTGGTAACTGCAGTTATATCACAAGTTGTTGCAGAGATTAGATGTTTGAATACAGAGAATGAGCCTGGTACTCAATAAGGCTTCATGAAGTTCATCTTTTATCACTACATGCTATTTTCACAAACATCAAGTGTAGAAACTGTTCCCCTGCCTGGTCCCTAGGTAGGGTTGTCCATGCAAATGCACAGACTTTCTGATCAGTGGTGAAATGAGACATAATTTTTTTTAAAGGTATCTTAAGACATAGACAAACTGGGGTGTAGGCCAGAGGTTCAGGGATGAGAGAGTTCACCAGCGACAGATTAGGGAGCGGAACAGGTAGAATAACTGAAATCCACTGCTAAGGGGAGCAGCAGGTGAGACAGGAGAGGTCAACTGCACCATATATGGTCAGGGATCAAACTCAGACCATTGGGGTGATAGTACTAAGACTTAATACCTAGATCACCAAGGAGGTCCTTGAGACATGATCTTAAAGAAAACCTTGTTCATTCCAATATTTTGCCTTGAAGTGCTCCTGTAGAACTATATTTAAATTTTGAGACATTAGAAATCAGAGGAAATGGCAAGTGTTGGTCATCTTATTCTTAAAATTACTATCAATGGAAGAGAGATAACAAATATCAGAGATTGCTCTAAGAAGATGGAAATCTAAAGGTAGAGTGGCCAGATGTTTTAGTTCTGTTTGAAATAGAGACTTTTGGATCTTGATTGATCATAGCATAGAGTGCATTCTAACTCTCAAGAAGAAAAATAGCTATATTTTAACCCGACTATCCTTTGAAATATGATGTTTGTTGCTTCTCAATGACTAAAAAAAACGCTTTTTTTATTTTTGGGGGAAATGGGCTAATAAGTCAAACAGACCTCATTATGATACTGCATAATTTGTGACTTTTCAATATTTTCCAGTGTCAGTTATTGAAAACTCCTTACTTTAAATGGAGATAGAAAGAAAATACAGCATAACTATGTTATTCAGTTATTAAACTAGATAGTTTGATAACTTCATAAACTAATCCTAATTATAATTGTGGGATGCACATCTATTTAGTCTACTTAGGAAGTAATTGCTATAACTTCATATTTCAGATATTAACGATTCAATAGGAGTAAGATTTAGTTTTTGCTTTCAAAGAGTCCATAGCTTAGTAGAGGAGAAAAAGATGTTGCCAACAAAGGACTGCAAAATATAGGAAGTGTCATAATAAAATGTACACGGTGTTAACACAACTCTTTGGGAAAACTTGCATAAGTTTCACCCAAGAGACTCATACTCAGCTAAGGGTTTCGTGAAATGATCACAAACTGTCTACAATGTAGATCATACAATGTAGATCTACAATGTATGGTCATTCTAAGAAACTCTAAAATATGTTAAAGTAGTGATACATATGACAGTGAACCCCAATTATTCCTCAGTGGGTCAGCTCACTGCACGAATTTCTCCCCATCTCAACATCTGCTGACATCTTAGCTCTCTACCTCTTACCTATCCCATTTCTGAATCAAGATCCCATCCCAGAAAAGAGAACCTGGCTTTCTGCTATACATTTGCTACTGTGGGTACATAAAGTCATTCCATCCCCACTTGCCAATAAAAACTAGTCATCAGTTCCACAAGCCTGATATAACATTATGCTGAATAGCAGGTTTTCGTACATTTTAAGCAACTGGTAAACTGAGGTAGCAGTTTTTGTGAGGGTGTGGAAGGAAACAGGTTGATGGGAAAGAGGTAACATTAGGCAAAAAGGAAACCATCAAAGGCTATCCAAGGGTCTTCTGCCCCCTTGCTGCCAATGATTCATTCAAATACTGCAGAAGAGGTTCCTTTGAGTTCTGCTGCAAAAAGGCTTAAAATGTGGTTATGTGCGTGTGCATTTAGATTTGAGTCTGGCGTCTGTGCAAATGTATGCAGGTATATGCATTTCTTCACTTTTAATGTGTAGGCTTATCCTTTGTGTATTTACGAGAGCACACATTCGCATCCTGGTATGTTGCCAGACCAGACCCCCAGGAAAAAAAGTCTGAGGTCCTCACACTGGTGCTGGGTGACCTCCCCACCCCCACACCCCCACCACTGAGGCTGGAAGGATGCAGGGTGACCCGGGACTGCATTGAAAGTTTGCAGCTCTGAGGCTGTTCCACCTGGGGACCTCGTCGCTTCCTTGCAGGATGGTGGGTTTGGAAGAAGCCTGCCGGTTCCCCGGGGAGAAATGGGGTGCTGCTGACGCGCTGGGCAGTAGCCGGCCGCCCCCTGTGCCCCTAGGCTCGGGTGTCCCCGCCTGCGCTGCGGGCTCTGCAGAGGCGCGGGCCGGG